CCCCCCCCTGTAAAATGGGATAAAGTGACTGATCGTGTCCAACTGGGAAAGATATAACAATGATATTTTGGCTAGCATTTCCTCCTCAAGCCTTGGATTTAAGATACGGAAATTCTTTTGTACACGGGGAAGAAACAGCACAGACGTTGACTGAGGATAGAGGTGGAAGACTCGGTGCAGACCCGGAATCTAAATAACGCTTGCAAAGCCATGGAGATATGTAATTGTGGTTTGAGATAACTATGTAATGATTTTGGTTGCATCTAAGCTTTGCAATCTGCATAGGAAGTTACTGCGTTGCAACATTTGTCCTAGGCTCACAACTGTCCTTTGCAACACAGTTGTTTTTGAGGTATCTCTTTGTCAGGTGATAAAACAACTGAAAATCAGTATTTTGTCATTTAGCTTGTGCTTCGGTACTGCATTTGTATGAGGTGCATTCTGCTGAGGAGCTCTTTGCTGATTTACACGAGGACTGTCGTGTTGCCTCCTGTAGTATCAGGAGATTGTACTAATAGAAAAATAAGTAAGACTGTTTTGCCTTGGTCATTGCAACTTCAATAGTGTATCACAACTCTGAGTAACTTGTTATTGTGTGCCCTGAGGAGTTAAGTTTTGAAGCGACCTGGGGGGCTGCCAAACGAGAGGAGAGTAGGGACTTAATAATATGAAAGCACTACCTGTACTTTAAAATTTTTTTAAGACAATACTCCTCCGATCTCTTAAAAGTTCAGCGCAATTAGGCGAAGTCAGCCTCAGGTCAACTCTGAGTCTTCTCTGTGTAGTCCACGCGCAGCTTCCAAAGACCACAGAACGGGAGACTTGTTCTGGGCTGGGTGCATGTTAGGTTTTCTGGTTTTGTTTTCATAATGAAGTTGTGTAAAGGATAGTCCAGCTGTGCGCTGAGATCTTGAAGGAGAAGCTGTGTCTTGTTTTTTTGCCGTGCCTTCTCATTTAAGATGCACTAAAATGTCATAAAGAGCATTCCCCTGCGGCTCTCTACCCCCAGTCTCCCTCTCCTGTGAAGTTAATCTTGCATCCAGTCAAGGGAAGGGACATGAGGCCTGATAGCACTTGTCGTGACTGACAGCGGCTCCTTCCCTGCTCCTGGTCTGACTCCACACCCACTCTCTTATACTCTAATAAACCTGGAGATGGTGGAAAAAGATAGCAAGTCAAGCAGAGGAACTGATGTACCGTATACTGCGGGTGGATTTTGTTGCTGTAGATGTTTTTGTTTGTTTTACTTGGGGCAGTATTAACCCAGAGCAGAGAGAGAAGAAATGGCAAAGCTTCTGCAGTGAAAAAGGGTAAAGACACTTGTCTTTGCTATCCAGAACAATTTTCCATTCTCATTTGGGCTCACCTGTCTGAAATTAAGGTAGCGTTTGTGAATCTAAGCCTTGTCTAGGGTAGAATTGCATCGTGCGACAGTTCTGCATGTGGGCTGGATTGACGGAAATGGACTGAAGCATCTCTGGGGCCCCGTGTTGGATCGTTTGTTGTCTTTGAAACAGTCTGGGATACCTTGACCACTGGGAATTAACAGAGCTCTCTTTCCATAGAGTTCGGTGCAGATCACATTTGAAGAGGGTCCTCAGTTACCATCAGCTGCAAATATAAGTTGCGTGACATGCAAGGGACAGTCAGACCACAGCATGGTAAGGCTTTGCTGTTCAGAATTGCATGGTGTGGGGTTTCTCTGTCGACCGATGTTGTGTTCTATGGAGATTGCTGAGGCCTGCGTGATGGTGGAACTGGGGAAGCTTTGGGCGAGGTCTGCTACTGAGTTTGGAGGCCTGTCGATGGCCTTGCGAGCTTGCGGCTCTGGGGCTGTGTGGTGATGAGCTCTGGGAGAGCCTCGGTGGGAGATGTGTTGGTGGAGCTGGGGCATATGGATGCTGAACATTGGGATCCAACGGTGGAGAGGAGAAGAGAGCTCCTGTTGCTAAAACATCTTTACTGTCTCATGTACAGAGTCTGAAGCGACAGGTTTGCGGTGTGGAACTGTCTCTGGGACTACACCTGATGTTTCTTTCCCGCCACGATGGGTTGACTGTGTCTGTCACTTTTAGAGGTTTTGCCATCGCATGGCTGCATTGCCAAGGATATAAATTCATCTCCTTCCTTGTCTTTCTAGGTGCTAAACTGCCATCTGTCAGCTGAGGCTGTGAAATTCCCTGTCTCTGTTACTCAGCAGTCCCCAGCTGCTGTTTCTGTGGACACCTACCATGTCACTTTGGCTGTGCTGCAGGCTCAGGTAATGGTTGTAAAAAGTTTGCCATTGAACTTGTTCTTTCACCTGGGTCCATGCTGATTGAGGAAGGAGGATCCTGTTTAGTGCAAACAAAGGCCTCATCGTGCCGAAAGAGGCAACGTGCTGTTGCTGATGTTGAGCGGAGCGGCAGATATTCCCCATCTGCGTGCCGAGTCCTGTTTTCTGAGGGTCATTCTGTAGATCTTGGCTACCTCATGTAGCTGTAACAAAATCCAGAGAGATTTGAGACAGGGTAGCATTCTGTACTATGTTCTTAAGTGGGTGTTTAAGAAATGAAGGGTTGACAGAGTTCAATTCCTGTCACAGCACAATGGATAGGGAAAGATGCGTCCTGCACGTACATACAATTATGGTGTCGTCCTGGTTGTCGGTGTGAGAAAAAATCCAGAGCAAGGAGTGGTTTGCTTGTCAGTGCTTCCCTAACACGTTTTACAAGAATGGGACACAGATTTTTTCCTGTGCGTTGAACATGGGAGATGTTTCTTCCAGAACAGAAGCTGCTGGAAATCGCAGTGGGTGGTAGCTCCGTAGTCATCTTGTGGCTGGATTTGCTTCTCTGGAATGTGATTTTGTTCCCATCATGAAGAAGGTATCAATGCTGGAGGGCGGGTATCTTGCTTGGAGACCATGGTCTTGCTTGTGCTATGGGGAGACGTGGCAAAATTAGAAGTAACTATGTGGTGGCAGAAGCTGATCCTGTGCTATTGCAAGTACCGTAGCTGGAAGGTTGTTCTACAACCCCTTCGGTCTGAGAAGTTTTCTTAAAATTATCATCTTGCATTTATTGGATCGTCCTGGTTTGGTTTTATGCCTCTGTTCCGTGGTCGTTTAAATAGCTATTCTCTGTCTCTCCCTCTCTCTCTCTCCTTGATGTTTAGTATGCCTGCTGCTGACCTAGTCATGGGCAGCAACTGTGGTCGCTTTTCATCTTTGCGTAGTCTTTGGGAGCTGGCCGGACTTTGCCACATCTCATCAAATTGTTCCTCTACTCGCTGGCATTTTCTAGGTCTCCTCGTTCGCACCTGCTGAAGTTTTGAGTCAATAGTTCTCATAGAGCATTGCGTGTGGTATTGTAATTGAGGTCTTGCTGCTGCATTGTGAAATGCTGGTAAGGTTGCCGTATGCCTGTTGGTCAGAAGACTTCAAGTACTGTAGTCCCAAATGTGCCTTGCCTCTCTTGTGCACCTCTCATTGTTTACTTACTTGGCTACCCTGTCCCAGATCTGTTGCTTTCGACTGATGACCTCCTGTGTTTGTGGTAAATAAATGTCAGTCTGTCCTTTTATGTTAAATTTCACTCCCGTGTTTTTAATAGAGATAGGGCATTGGGAGTTCTTCCAGTCTGGTTCTGTGTCTGTCCATTGCATTAACAATTCCTTTCAGGTGTACGGGTGTGTGACTTTCCAACTGAAATATGGGATGACCTGCTTTGTTTTTGCAAACTGTTGGTAACTTGGATGAGTTTTCAGTCTGAGGATGATCTAGAGACCCATAGCCAACTTAAAAATGGCCATGCTTGTTCTTTCAGAAATCTGTCCTTCCTTGGGTTGGTTGGCACCTCAGAGCGTTCTTACTGTCCTCTCTGCGATCTAGGGTGTCTCCCTTTGGTCTCTGGCCTCCTGAGGACCTCTGTTCAAATGCCCTCCAGGTTTCCTTGCATTCCTGAGCCGCCTTTGGTGTCTTTGGCCCAATCAGGACCCTTCTAATGGTGTCACAATGCCTATCGATGCTTTTGAGGTTGCCCTTAGCAGACTGTAGCGGATCTCGCGTCCCTCTTGTTCCCTCAGAGGACTTCCTGAGTCCATATCTGTGACCCAGCCCAGTCATTCTGTTCTCTTCCCTCTAGCCATGCCTCTATTTGTTCCTCATTCCTCTGATGACAAGTTTACTCGGTTCAGATCCCCTCTGGATTTATTCGTCATGTCTGTCTCTCTGGCCTTCTCGTAACGTTTTATTTTCCCAGTCACAGTGCCTCCTGAGACCTTCCTTGTGCTCCGCTTCCATCTCGTCGCGCTCTAGGTGGGGCCATCTTTCTTCTTTTGGCAGTGGTTAATTGGCGTAGCTCAGTAAATATTCCATGTCAGTTCCCGACTCACACTTTTCGATTGTCCTGGGTTTTTTTTCTTTGACCTCAGATAGAACCCACATTTTTTGTCTCTGATGGTGCCTGGGTGTCCAAAGGCAGTAAGGAGGCCGGATCTCACCGCAGAGCAATGACGCTTCCGCAGCTGCTTCTTCCCATAAGCCGAGGACCGCTTGTGTTCTTATGTTCTGCCTCTACTTGTTACGCTGGTGTGAGGGCCTTTTGGTTGCTGAATTTGAAGTGGGGCAAAAAACAACCTCACAGAAACAGTTCCTGACCGTGCTCATATGTTCTGGGCCAGGTGGAGATCCGCTTGGAGGAGATACAGAACGAAGGTCTCCTGGTGTCATGGATGTTCAAGGATAGACCAGACTTGAACCTTTTGGTTCTTCCAAGACTTCAGCTTCATGAGGTGAGGGGCCGACAGCGGGAGACTGGACTGGAGCGGAGGAAGGACAGGAGGGGCAGGAACAGCGCCAAGGGGGGAGGAAGGTCGCTGTGGAGGGGGAGAGGTTGGCAACTCACCGTCATGGTCCTTTAGGATAAGGGAGGGTATTCTTTTGCCCTGGAATCGGTACTGGCTCAGCTCTGTCCAAATGGCACATCATCAAGAGAGCTGAAGTGGTACTGATGCCTATTTTCCAAGGTTGGTGTAGCAGCTGAATGGGAGAGTGTGCAGCAGTAAATGTTTTCTGTCTGTGCAGGTCCTCCTGCCATTGCCCAGTGTAGAGCTGCAAAATGACCTGGGTTGGCTTTGGGTTTTGGGGTGGTTTGGGGTTTTTTGTTGTTGGTGGTTTGGTTTGGTTTATTTGTTTGGTGTTTTTTTGAGAGGTTAGTGTGGGGAAGTGCTGTGGGTGTTAGAGGTTTAACAAGCTGAATGTGGGCATGCCTACGCTTGTGATCCAGGTGGGTCGGTCGATTCATTTTACTGATGGCCTCGTTGCCTTTTTCTGAGTAGATGTAGGAATTTGGCTGTTCTCACAAAAGTGCGGTAGTACTGTCTCACAAGGTGGTGAGGAGGTGATGAACTGTAAAAGGCTTATTGTCAAAATTTGCAAGGGGTAGACCACAGATCTGGAGGCTTAGTTTCTTGCATTTATACCACTCGCATTTACCTGCAGCTGTTAGAACCTTTAAGTGCTGGGGAGAGCCAGTACGGGATATGGGAGGTTATTACTGGGAGAAGGACTGTGTAGCGTCTTAGAGGCTTGAGAGGCAGTTGGAGCTGTATACGGAGAAAATGAGTCTCCCTCATTATGACTTTCTGCATTTCCTCCTGATTTGTGGAGAGAAGAATGAAGGGAGAGTGGATCTGTCCACCATAAAGGATCTGATCGAGGACACCATTGTCAGCACTCAGCCAGCCATGATGGTGAATCTGAAGGCCTGCACTGCCGGAGCCGGTGCGGTAAGGCACTCTCTCCGTGTCATTCTCGTGCCTCAAATGTTGCGCCCCGGGGTGCTTCTGAGGGCTGTGACTCAGACGGGAATCCGAGGGTTGAGACTCGTTCCTGTGTGACAGTCACATCCCAGTTTGCGCCGTCGTGAGAGTCTGGGGTGCTACGGCACGGGGACTAGGATAGTTGGAAACCATTCTGAAGGACAGCTCTGTTTGTAGCTTGTTTCCCAAACACGGAGTGCCGGCTGTGTTGAGGTGGAGCTGGACTGCCCAAGGCACGTCTCTGTTTCGGCAGTCTCTCCGTTGCTCAGAACGCCAAGGCTCCCTCCAGGGTAGCCTTTACAGGCAGAAATGGGCTGTGGTTTGTTATCTTCAGGTGTTCGTTTGGCAGCCAGCAAGCTCGTTCGTGTCTGTCTCTTCTGTCTGCCTGGAGTTTCCTATCTGAAATAACAAGAGGGGGGCCACCGGAGGTGGATAGCTTGGGGAGTCTGCAGCATCTCTCGATAGCTCTGCGGGTATTGGCTTGTGTCAGTGTGAGGGGCTACTTAGGATGCAAAGACAAATATCTTGCTGCTGTGTGCTGGTGAGCAAACGATAAAAGCCTTGATCTTGCTGTCGTCATTCTTCAGGTATCCAGCAATAAGTTGACTCAAGAGTCCCCGTCCGGAGTAGTGGTGGCCCCTCTGGGTTCTAAGCTGTTGCTCCGGAATCTTCGCGTGCTGAACTTGGGCTGTCAGGGGAAGGAAGGTAAGTGCAAAAACTGCTCGTCTGCAGGGGCGAACGCGTGTGTGTCTGGATTGGAGTGAATGGATGTTTTGAGCAGGTTTGGAAAGAGGGGAGTGCGTCCAGTAAGCTGGTACCTCATGTTGACAAGCAGGCACATCTGCTCTGTTCCTCCAGGAGTCGGGGAGGTGCACTGCATGGCAGAGCTAGACAGCCCCCCACAGCAGAAGCGGACGAGGCCGGTGACAGCTGACGGTGCCAGTGCTGCAGCAGAGCTGGAGTGGACTGAGGACCTCTTTCTGTAAGTGTCTGCTCTCCTTCTAGCTGACATGGCAGAGGCAGACCGACATGGTTTCTGGGTGTTGTTACTGTGCTGTGGTAATTAATTGATGCAGACGGCACAGAGGCGAAGCCCGTGCTGTGGCGTGGTGCGCGTTTGTGTCACCCGCGCGACGAGCCGCTGAGTCTGTCGACTGGCCCTGGCATGTGTATGTATTTCCCTCTCCCCTGGACTCTCTGTGTTTTAACTGTACTGGCAGAAGTGCCAGTCGCGGAGGGTGCGTGAAAGCGGCAGGTGTGTGAGGCCTGGAGCGCAAATCTCGGCCTTCTGGATGGGTTGCCCCCTCAGCTTCCCCTGGCAGCTTACGCAGCCTCGCAGAGGAAGCAAACCAGAATTCTCTTCTGTGTAGTTTGCCGCCCCTCGTCGTGTCCTCCAAAGTAGCGCGCGTGTACTGGTGATTTGGAAAAGGTGATGAGCGTGAGATGCAAGGGAGGGAAGATGTGGAACGGGGTCGTTTGCTCCGTGGCCGTTCTGCAGATTGCCTAACGCCAGCCTGTCTTTTTGTGTTTTGACAGGGAGCTGGGACCTAGAAGTAAAGAGCTGAAGCTACAGGTGCTGGGGAATGGCAATGGAGGGGGAAGTGAGTATGGGCAGCTGCAAGATGGATTGTAAGACGGGGAGACAGAATTGCCTAAGGGACTTCCTATGCTTTGAGCCTGTGGTAGTTCTGCATCGGTACGATGCATGATGAACTCTGCAAAGGTGTTTTCTTGCCCAGCTTTCTGTGAGCATCTCACTGCCTGAAGTAACCCTGGAGTCTGTTCTTAGTGAAGCGCTCTTACTCTGACCTTTTTTGGTACCCAGGAGGTTCCCGCGGCCTGCCCATCTCCAGTCAGAAGCGGGAAGAGGCATGCGGGGATTTATCCCCGTGTATTGGAAGAATGTTGTGGAAGGCTCCTACCTCTGTTCATTTGTGCTCGGTCAGGGACTAACCGCAGCATCTATTTTGATGGAGGCCACTCAATGGCCACCTCTGTAAGGGAGTTGATTTCTGCATGGGTAAAGAGGAGCGGAGGAGCAGTGCCCGCCCCCTCCCCCCTGCCCCCTCGAACCTGGGAGCTGCTGGATTCGGGGTGACCTGCTTCGTTGGCCCACTGGGCTGCTTCCCAAAAGCAGAGGTTGCCTGGGACGCATTTGAGGTGTTTTGTCTTCCTGTTCTTCTTGCAGATGTGCTGCTGGCGCACACCACGCTTTTACTCGATTCTTTGGGCAAACAACCATCTGGGAGACAGGTCTGCTCGCTGGTCCCAGGAGCCGGGCGGTCACTGGCAGCTGAAGCTACCGTTATATTGGAGGTGAGCTTACGACTCCATAAGTTTGGCACAAACACGTACTCTTGGAAGTGTTTGTGATGTGATCCTCTAGCTGGGACGAACACGACTGGGCCTGGGCTCGTCGCTGAGGAGGGGTGTCAGCGAGCCCTCGGTGCTTGAGCCTCCCTCTGTTCGACCAACAGTGGAGAGGGAGTGGCTCTTTGGGGCCCAGAGTGGTAGCTTTTGTCATCTGTATGCCTGCCTTTCTATCTGGGAGGAGGAGACCCTCTCTGAGCTGCGTTTTACTCTTTGTAGCTGCTGTTCCAGGAGTCTCCCGCATCTTTGAATGCTCAGCACACCACATCTCTGCGAACTAGCATCACCCCCACTAAGAAGGTGGAGATGGACCGAACCATCATGCCCGATGGCACCATCGTGACTACCGTCACCACAATTCAGTCCCGGCCCAAGGCAGACTGCAAACTGGGTGAGGCTGTCCTGCGATGAGCATCTCATGTGGGTGGCTGCTATGGGGGCACAGGCTCGGCAGCGGTATTCCTGAGGTCACTCATGGGCAGTAGCAAAACCGGTTAGCCTTCGTATGTTGTGGACTCACGCCTTGCGCAGAGCCATCAGCTTCTTCGGTCCCTTAGTGTCTTGCGGCCATCCAGAGACTCAGGCATAGCCTTGTGGGAGGCAGTAGTTGCAGCCCTGTGTTTGGGGGGGTGGCAAGAGAGGGCTGAACCTCCCCGACACTCTTTGGTGGTGGGAGGTCCTAGCTCTGTGTACGTTGCCGCATAACTTCTGCGTGGTGTTGGGCTAAGTGTTTTGCTGCTCTTGCTCTGCGTTCTTCGTTCCTGAAGAAGTTGCACCATACGTACCGAACGCTGAGATGAAAGTGTGGTGACCTGGCTTACTAGTGGTTGTTGCCACTTGCAGTCTGACATCCTGATGAATGCGATGCCGTGTATTCTGTGAGGTGGGGCTGGGAAATGGCATGAATGGGGTCTCGTGATGGGGCTGTTTCACGTGTCTTTTTCCAGTAGGCTTCTTACTACTTTGTTGCCGCAAAGCCTCATGGAGCCAGCCTCTCCAGGCTCTCTGCATGCACTTGAGGCTTTCTGGGGCTGCACGTAGGGGGCCGTGACACAGTCGTGAAGTTGCTGAAGCTTTGTCTCCACTTACTGGTGACTCTGTGTCTCTGCCTCTTTCACTGTGAAGATTCACCATCGAGGTCTCCTTCCAAGGTGGAAGTGACCGAAAAGAAGACAACAGTGCTTTTAGAGAGTGGCCACCCTCGCAGCCCCTTGCCCAGCGGTAGCCGTAAGTGCTTGGAAATCTCAGGTTCTTACCAGAGCGATGGTGTTCTTTAGCCTTTCTTGGAGAGTGGCGGTCTGAATGTAGGTTGCCAAACTTGACTGCAAGAAGAGAATGTCTGAGTGAAGGCAGGGGTGGAGGGGTGGTGGCGGGTGGGTACAGGTAAAAGAAATTCCACTTGGGCTCTCTGTTCTGTGACTCTGGGTGCTTCCTTGCTCAGTGAGAACACTCCAGGCTATCTGGACCAAAAGAGCTTTGCTCACCTTGTACTCGGGGCTGTGGTTTTCTCCAGGGCAGAACGCTGCAACTGTTTTGACGGTTTGTGGCCAAGGCTGCCCAAACTCTTGGGAGTCTTTGGTAGTCTTTGTGGAGCAGGAAGGGTGTTTTAATGACACACCTGGTAGGATGTCAAACTTTTCAGGTGTCTAAAAGGGCATAGGTGTATATGCAGCATGCTTGCTTTGGTTTATTTGGGCAAGTCCATAATTCCCATTCTCTACCTTCGTGCACATATAGTTGCCTCTTACAAACATCGTGGTCAGCGAGCAACCTCTTGCGTGTGCTGAAGGTTGCCACTTCAAGTGTTGGTATCTTTCTTGTGCTCAGGGGATAGCCATATGCCCAACGGCTTGGATCCAGTGGCCGAGACAGCGATCAGGCAGCTCACCGAGACGAATAACAAGCCCACCAAGAAGACCCCGACAAAACGCAGCACACTGATCATCTCGGGAGTTTCCAAGGTCTCTGGTAGTTAGGGGGCTCCATTTCCAGTTTGGGAGTTTGTTTCTAGGGATGCATGTGTGAAACCACCCTGTCCCATAGGGATCAGTGTGGGAAGGTTCCAGCACAGACGTCTTGCTTGGCAGAACCCTTTTGCCGCTTCCTTGCAGCTTGTCACTGCTTCCCGGCGAGTGTCAAAGGTAACTTGCCAGTCTGCAGGGCAGCTGCTGGTGGGAGTTTGCAAAGGGCAGCTGAAGAAAGGGAGGCTGCTGCCGTACCGGGTTGGGAACCTCGTGGAGAATCTAAGGAGTTCTCCATGGACATGCCCACGGGAGTGAGGGAGGTGCTGTGGAAAGCTTTGGAATTGGCCACATTCCAGCAAAAGAGTGACAGTTGCACATTGGTGCCGTCTAGCACCTATGATTGGAACTGGAGCATCCGTACATAGGTATGGAGGGAAGAAGGGAGATGAACATGATCCTGTAGACCCCATCTTCCCATCTGTCTGACCTTCTAACCCCCCCCTCCAGGTACCTATCGCTCAAGATGAAATGGCACTTTCTTTGGGTTATGCTGCATCCTTGGAGGCCGTGGCATATGGGGGTTCTGTGGCGGAGGGCACAGCTGGCCGGATGCATGATTCTACCGAATCGTCACAGCTGCCGGAAGCGTCGCCGTTGGGTCAAAGGGCCAGTCAGGAGCTGGATGAGACGACACGGTCAGACATCTCTGAGAGACCGTCGGTGGAAGACGTGGAGTCGGAAACTGGCTCCACGGGAGCCCTCGAGACCAGGAGTTTGAAAGATCACAAAGGTAAGGATGAACCATTAGATAATATCTAAAGTTAGCCTGTTGTCCTTGAGGAAATAGTGACATCTGACTACCCTTGCCTGAGCATGGGAGCTGTGTCCAGCTTTTGGCGTGGCAAATTGCAGCTTCTGTGGGAGCTTGGCAGAGCCTGACTCTCTCCTACACTTTCTGATCAAGCAGTTCCAAACTCTTGGGCTTGAAGGCGTCCAAATACCAGGGACTTTTTGGTTTCTGTGCTCTCTTAGACGGGTACCCTCCTCAGCTTGTGCGTTCCCAAGAACCGGTTTTCTTCCGCCAGCTTCCAGGACCACAGATCAGGCGTGTGTCCGTAAATAATGATTACTTCTCTGATTTTGGTCACCTCTGGTGTGGAAATGGAGGCCACCCGACAATGTAGATTGTATGGGCCTTGATGCCCTCCTTTATTTTCCGTTAGCATCAAAGCAGCTAGTGCCTCTGACTGTTGTACTGTAGGAAGTCCATGTAAACTCTCTGCTTTTAAACGATGGAGTTGGCCTGCCCCAACTGACCTGCTGTTCTGGACTTTCTGGGCTTGCGTTGGTTGGGCGGATGGCATGTCCCGGATTTGTCTGCTTGTAGCTGTGGTGGTTTCAGTTAGCTGTAAACTTACGTAAATGTTACGCCAAGATCTCGATCACTCATCACACGACAGCGGGACAAGTTTCATGGGGTTGTACCCTGGTCTGGCTGGGTATGGTTTGGACTGTACGGCCCGTCATGTGCACGTCAGCGGGTAGAAGGGTGCATGGCCCAGATTTCTGAGAGACTTGGTGGGCAGGGAAGAGAAGGAAGGAAAGGGAAAGCAAGCTCCCTCTGTAGGAAATACCATGATGGCTTTGTAGGGTACACAGGTTTTGGATGCATGTGTTTGCACCTGACTGGGACTGATGGCAATTGATGTCTCTGTCCTGTCCCTGCCATGTGAGTCATTTTAAACCGTTGCCATTACTTGTCTCCAGATTAGGGTATCTCGTGAAACCAGGGACCATTTTTTCCGGGGGCTTGATGACCTGCTCCTCCGGGTGCCCTTGAGATGGGTTAGTCTGAGAGGCTGTTTCTCTGGCACACGTTCCTCCCGGTGTCTCCACACGCAGACAGTTTCAGTTGCTTTCCATTTGTGTGAGTCTTAGTTTTCTGTTGCCATTCTGCATGCCTCCACCGAAGAGGGCATGGTTGCTTAAAAGGAGGTTTTTGCAGAGAGAACATGTGACGGCGTGCTTAGCGAAGCAGCTGGTTAGTATCGTGGTCTGTCCCAAACATAAACTTTGCCTTGTGGCTGGGAGTTGGGATTTGCCAACCTGCCATGCACTTCTGCCGCTTGGAGCGGAAGAGGCATTTGCCACTTGTCCAAGAGCAGCCGGGTGTGTTAACGTTCCTGAGACTTGGCAGGGCAGGATGCTATCGTGGTTTCTGTCTCCTTCCTTTCTGTCTCTGCAGTTAGCTTTCTTCGGAGCGGTACCAAGCTCATCTTCCGGAGAAGGAGCAAGCAGAAGGAAGCGGGCCTGAGCCAGTCACATGACGACTTGTCCAACGTCACCACCAACTCTGCCGCCAGGAAGAAAGCCGGCAGCTTCTCGCGCCGCCTCATCAAGCGCTTCTCCTTCAAATCTAAATCCAAACCCAAAGCTAGTGACAGCATGACAGCAGGTGAGAACTGAAGGAGGGAGAGGCCTATCAGAACGATTTCGCAGAGATCCTTTTCTAGTCTCTTGTCTTCCCACTCCACGGTATCTGTGACCTGCAGTCCAGTTCCTTCCAAGCTTGGCTGAGGGAAGACACCCCAGTGCTTTATGCCGTGTGGGGAATGGAGGGGGTGAACCTGGGGCTTAGGTCACTCATCTGCACTGGCTGAGCCTTCTCCAACTGTCATACCCCACTGTGCTCTCCCAGAAAATCCAGGTGGCATGCTAATCCTTGTGGGGGTCCTGAGAGCTGCAGAAGCGACTGCGCCTGCATAGCTGTCTGGCGTTGCTGGGTGTGTCCTGGAAAGCAGGGAGGGGTCAGATCTCGAGTGGCTGCCCTCAGAGTTAAAGGTGAAGAAACTACTGGGTTTGCTGAAGAAGTGTGTGATGCAGCCTCGCTTGGCTCTTCTGGTGAAAGAGAATGACGCGGTCGCTGGTGTCTAAATGCTCTTGTTGCTTCTGCTCGGTGCAGAGGCTGTAACCTGACTGAGGTGGGGTGCAGCATGGGGCAGCGAGCCACCAGGAGAATGAGCTGTGGCTCTCCACCTGGTTCTGCCATTGGAACGGTTTCTGTTCGGTGGACGACTCTGAGGGATGCCTGCTTTCTGTGCTGTGCTGATGAAGGAAGGAGCCTTTACGAAGATGGAAGTTCTAACCACTTGGGTGAGTTTTTGTGGAAGCCTGGGCCATTGCAAGATCATCTGGTCGCTGCCGTTGGTGCTGTCACGCTGTGATGCAGCCCTCCTTCTGCATCCACGTTCTCGCACGAGGAAGGGACCGTGCTACATGCGCGCCCCAACCGCTACACAAGCAGAACCCTTTCTGTTGGGAGAATTGCTGGCAGGGTACCAGGCCATCCTCTGCACCTGCGGAGTGTCTGGCCTCTCACGGCTCTCGCGGTGAGGACCGGCACCACGCTGGGGATGGACAGCGAGGAATGCGACAGTGCTTGCAAAAGGGCGGTCTGACGTGGAGCCTGAAGTCACGTGGCAGAAAGAGGCCAGAGTTTACATGTTTTCACTGATGAAAGGGTTTTCTGTGGCAGAAGGACCCTTTCTCGATTGCGTCTGGTATTTCCTTCCTTCTAGCAAACTCGATCCAGTGCTTTCAATCGGTGGGCATTTCTGCAGCGTGCGTTGGCAGAGGGAGAGGTGTGCAGGGGGAAATCGAATCCTTGTGTGGGAGGAGACTGCCTTTCTAGATGAACAGTTTTCTTGTCATCTGACACGTGAACATTGCAAATATGCCCAGAGGCCCCATTCGGATAGCATGATGACTCACTGGAGAAATGCTTGTGCCCCATCGGCATGCCTGCTTTGAACGGAAGCTCCTGCTCTCCTGTAGGTTGTAGAGTTAAGGAGATGGGGCAAAGGGGAGGAAAAACTTTGCTGAAGAGTGATTGCCTAGGCCTGACCAGATTTGCTAGCTCTGCTCTCCTGTTATGGTACCTCCGGAGGCGAGGGCTGTCGCCCCGCCTTACGTGGGATGCCACCAACCAAAAAAGTGGTTGTTCCCTCGGCAACACGCATAAAGTAACAGTCACGTTCTTCAGAAGGATGAATCCTGGCTGGTTGGCGTGTGCCGTTTCCAAAGACCAAATGTGTTTGCTGTGCTGCTGTGAAAGGATTTATAGGTGGGAATTTCAGGGCGTGTCTCAGAAAATATCCAGAGGTAGAGAGGGCCAGAATCACCTGGGGCTCAGATTGAACATGACAGTGCATGCAAGCAGGAGGGACTCTTTCCTGTTTTTCCTGCTCATTCCCTGTGAGGTTGGGCATGCGTGAGAAATGGGACTGGTCCAGCCAGCTGACAGGGAACCTATTCTCCATCTGTTTGTTTTGGTCTGGGAGTTTTTCTGTCCTCCCCGAGCTCTTTCATGTCTTTTATCCTTTGTTTCTTTTGTCGTCTGCATGGCACTGCGGCTTCGTTCTCAGCTCTGCACGACGGAAGTTGGCATGCTCGCCGTTTCTTGCTGAAAATGGTTTTCCTTGATGCAAGAGATTGCTTCCCACTGCGGCACCAGCGGAAGTTGGTGCTCTTCAGTTGCAGGTTTAATCACAGGACCTTCCACGAGTTTCTTTCAGTAGTCCTGTATTCTTCTTTTAAATCTGAAGAACAGCTCAAGCTGTTCCGGTGCAGGGCAGCTGGAGGCAAATGCCAGAGGCTTCCGTCTGTGCTTCTGAAGCGTGAATAGGGCTCCTGTACACGAGGAGGGCTGCAAGGCCGAGTGAGTGTTGTCCTTGTTGCCGTAGACTGGAGGCGGAAAAAGCAAGCAAGGCTTGCATCCGACAAAGGCATACCTGGATTTCGACTGGAGTATTTTGGTCTGCCTCAGAGGAAGGAGGTGATGGGAATGGCAGGAGTAAAACTGAAACCAGAGTTCTTCACCAGCCTCAGGGACCGAGGAACCCTTTCTAGCCATGTTAATTGGGCCATTTGTGCCATATGTCTATGGGATTTCCTGAATTTGGTTCTGGTTTGTTGGTTACAGGCTGTGCCCGCTCATGAATCACAGTGGGGGTTCTGTCTTTGATTTTGAGTTTCAACTTGGCAGAAGGCTCATCTGGGAACCTTCCATGCTGCGGTCGCTGGAACGAACGGAACGTGGGATGCGGGATGGTCGGTGTGTCTCTTCCCTTGAATTTTTGGCACTGCTTTTTATCACAGGCAGTAAACTGCTATGAAAACTTGTGTCTGGTTAGATAGCACGCAGAGGAAGGGATATCATCAAGGGCCGATAGAGCGCATCCCCAAACGTCAATTCCCACATCTGCTCGTGTTTCCTAACAGATGTACTTTCTGCTGTTTTGTTGCTTCTCAAAGTTGTATGCTGCAGGACTGATATCGTAACCTTTTTATGTTCTTATAAATGTTTTCGCTAAGTGCAGAATGTTTTTCAGGGTGTTTTGGTCAGCTGCTGTTTGAGGGACAGAGGGGTAGGGAGAATGGCTCAGATGCGTGAATCCTGAGGTCTTTTAGATCGGATATACTCCCGATGAACGTGTTGATCCTTGTTCTTCATATCTGTACCTGCTTTCTTTCTCACACATATGGTTGCGTTCATCCCCCGAGCGGCAGGCAACTGGTTTTGTTAGTCCTGGCTATGCAAGCACGGGTTACTCTCCTGGCTTCTCAAAGCCAAGAATGGTAACAAATCTGCCTCGTGGGAAAAGTGTGAATATTGACCTGAGAAATTTTTCTTCTATCCTAATCTCCTCTGAAGGAAAGGGAAGTTCACGTACGTCTTTGTCTTGACAGTTTCTGGAGGCCAGAGTCCCAGGGAGGTCACCCCTGTAGAACTGCCACTTAAAGAAATCTCTTCTGTATTTAATCCCTGCTTGTGCTTCTGGCTTTAGGACAGAAGAAATGCTATTTGAAATCTGCTTTTCCCCATTCCGCTTCTTCTGGATACCCGTGCCCTTGCCTCGGTGCCATTGTGGGTCACGTGGCATTTTGTAATGCCCGGGACCACAAAGCAACCCCGGCGTGCAGTGTGGGCCACCTTTGAACTTTTTTAGACTCAAATGATCTGCAGTTGCCAGGTTGCTGTCTCAGGGTAGGCTTGATATTTGCACCTTGTGAAATCGGTCCTTGACTGAATATGTGGGGGAGGAGGCATGGCAGAGCAGTGGGCTTGAACGGACAGAGGCTTCTGAAGGAGTTCAACCTGCTTATGAGGGCCTGCATTCCAAATCAGCTACACAAGTAGAAACGGTGACTTGGTGACTGGTAAATGAAGCCAAAGTATATACATTTTGGGGTTTGGGGGTTCTTTTGGGTTTTTTTGTGGGTGGTTTTTCATTTGTGGGGTTTCCCCCCCTCGCCTTATTTTCACTGAACAGCATTGCTAGAACTTACCTACCAGTGTGTTTCTAATTCTCTATTTCTCTAGCTGTAAGTATGTTTGTAAGTATATTTCTGTCAGGATGCATCCTCTCCCCATGTTTTGGTAAGGCTTTTTAAGAGCCTCTGCATTGAAAAAGCTCTGGGCATCAGCCTGCGAAGGGGTATCCTCTCAAGGTGGGAGAAAGCAGACACCGGAAGAGGAGGAGAAAACTGCGAAAGCTCAGTGATTTAGGGGTGCCATATGCTTTACTGTGCTGGATGTCTGAGGCCCAATAATTGGAGAGGGTGCTCAAAGGCTGCGTATTTGAGGGCAGAGGGATCGTGCACACGTGTTTACGTGTGCTTGTAACTGGAGCGTGCTCTGCAAGTGCCTGTACCGGTCACACTGCAAAGCGACTTGAGGACGACAGATGGGTTGGGAGAGCAGCCTTGTCGGCTTCTGTGGCATCCACAAAAGATGTCTGACATGGACCTTTACAGGGGCAGAGTCTTGAGCAAGCGAGTCCAACTTCTGCTCCTGCAAGCACCTTTGTGCTGTGTATTTAGTTGGGGATGGAGTTGTTGGAGAGATGGGTTGAAGTGGGGGAGAGTGAGGGTAGACTACCAGAGAGGTAGTCAGAAAACAGTTCATGGGAGGGGAACATGATGAAAACTTCTTCAGACTGATAGAAGAGGACTAGAGGCCCACGCCTTTTCTAGATGAGAACTGGGTGCACGGCAAAGTGTACGCTTACAAATGTTTTCATTCTGCTTTTTTTTGTCTGGAGTGATGCCACTTCCTTCCTGTGACGGCTTCTCTTGGTTCATTGTTGGCTACACCTACAGAGAAATAACTCCTGAGTTGCTGGCGAGATGACTGAACATTGGGTGGCTGGTGTTCGCGTGTTAGGGGTCTTGCATTGTTTCCCCCTCCGCTAGGTCACAGTGAGTGTTATGGTAGAGTAACAATCCCAGTGGTGGTCAAACATCTGGAAACTTTGTGTACTTGCGATACTGTAGCTCTTCCTACAGGCATGACTGCTCCATGCAGCCTTTCCTTTCTCATACAGGTACTGGACCAAATTCCCATGCTGAATTTGAATTGGCGCCCCTCCTCGTGCGTGCTCTTTTGTACTTTGATAACTTCTTTCTGGGTGTATTATTTTAACCCCAGACTGTTCAGAGGAAAATAAAATAAAAAAAAAAGGAACTGTGTAGCTATTTAAGAGATGATAGTAAAATGTCTTAATTTGGACTAAATGAAGTTCTTGCACCTTTGTAAATGTTGAAGAAGAATTCCATTGCTGTGTAATGGCTGAACCTGTTAACTTATTAAACCACATGGAAATTAAAGCCTGACCCAGAGTCTAACTTTATACTGGCTGGAGTGCAGCGAGTTGTGGCCTCTGGCTTCCTCTTAAGTTCAAAGAGGATTTGTAGTCCTCTTTTGTAAGACTGTCATCTCTGAAGCATCCTTTTTGCCGGGAACAGGTCTACAGACTGTAAGACCAGGCCAAGGACTGTAACCCTGTGGAGGCAAGTAATTATTCCCAAGATGGCAATGTCGGCCCCAGAAGGTCTGAGCCGAGCCGAAGCCTTTGGCTGGCCCTGGACGTGCAGCAGTACCCTGGGCGAGTCTGTTATGGCTTCTTGGGGTGCCCTTGCAGAGTGGGGAGACCCTGCCCTTGCCCTGTTTGACACCCGGTTCATGTTGTCTTCTCCCCTCAGCCTGCTCTGCTTTTCCTTCTTTGTTGTCCTTGCTGTGTTGCAGGGCCTACAGCTGCAGCTGCAAAGTCAAGGTAGACGAGAGGGGTGGTGGTTGTACATTTCTTCTCCAGGCAGGGCTCATCCTGCGGCAGGGTGGTGGCAGACCAACACGCTGGGGGTCTAGTCTCCCACACGCTTCCTGTAGCCCGAGGTGCTGTCCCACTGCCATCGTCGGCAAGGCAGTCACGTGCTGAGGACATTGAACAGATGTGCCTCTTTGCTTTCCCTGGTGCACAGCTGGCTGAGCACTGGAGGGCAGGCTTGTGAAGAACTTTGTGCGGCGTGTCTTATCGACAAGCCCTGCCCAGAGAGCCTCGTGTGGATGCCAGGTGAGGAGACCAGAGCACTGGTAGCACAGAGGTGAGGAAAGGTGTGAACAGCACAGCAGAGGCCACAGGTCACCAGTGTGTCATCGCAGACATGCAGCTTAACTCCTGGCACCAGCTCTGCTCGGCTGTGCTGGTACCTGCTGACCGCAGCTGCCCTTCTGGCACAAAGCAGCTTTCCATCTATGCCCTCCTGCCGTCAGCAGCTGCCTGGGCTGCCGGCGGTGTGAAAAC